AGCAGGGGAGAAAGGGGCGTACTGGGATACGTCTTTCCAGGGGGCATTTTTTTCCCCCCACATGAGAGGATTCTCTTGTTTGACTGACGGTGCCTCTGGAGGAACCTGTTCATTTGTGCTGTCTCTGAAAAGACCACAGATGGTAACTTCTACCGGTAAGCATGCTGAAGCCCCTCCATAGCTTCCAGGTGCTTGCAGAAGAGAATCAGACCTACAGGCAGAAGGTGCACGCAGGAAGTGTAAAGGCAACCCTAATGACTCATGATGCATCCGCCATGTCATTGTTGTTTGTAGTTCTCACTTCTGTGCAAGGTTAAATTCCGTCCTTGACCGACATAGACATGCTGCACAGTCAGGCAGAGCAAGGGGTGCCTGCTCTCCACTGATAGTTTGGGCCATCATAATTTAGTCATTGATGGTGGATCTTATAGACAAAGAAGTCACAGAAGAGGACTAAGAAAGATAGGGGTATCAGCTGGGATAGAGTTAACTTTCTTTCAGGTGGCTGGGGGTGCTGTGTTTTGGATTTGATATGAGAGTAACATTGATGGCCCATTGATGTTTTTGTTGTTGCTGGGTGGTACTTGCACCGGGGACTTTTCAGCCTCCCATGCTCTGCCAGGTGCACAGGAAGCTGGGGCGGGAGCATAGCCGGGGCGGTTGGCCCAAATGGGTATTCCAGACCATGTGACATCATGCTCATTATAAAAATTAGGCAGGGGGGCCTCTTATGTCTGGCAACAGGCAGTTGGCCAATGGGATATTCTATACCATGTGACATCATGCTCAGTATAAAAAAATGGGGGGGGCCTCCCCATGTTCATGACACGCGGTCAGTGAGTGGTGAGCAGTTGCATTGTGCATCGCCTGTTTTGTATATTCTGTTATTGTTGTTGTCCTCACTGTTACTATTACTGTTCTATTTTGTTTTATTTCAATTATTAAACTGTTTTATCTCAAACCGGGGGTTTTCCTCCTTGTGCCCTCCCGATTCTCTCCCCCATCCTACCAGAGTGGGGGTGTGAGTGAGCGGATGTGTGGTGTTTAGTTGTTAGCCGGGGTCAAACCACAACACAGCGTTAAAACAGAAGTAATCAGTAGGATTGTTAAAAGGAAAGCCTGGAGTTCCCACATGCCTATGAACTGCAAAAGGGTTAGTTCCCTCAGGGTCGTCTGGTTTTCCATCTTGTCTTCATAATTTTTCTGGGGAAACATTGTAAATGAGATAAATAGGGCCACTGAAATCAAATCTGGTAGGTTTATGCTGATGTCTCTGAACAGGTCTGTCCGTTCACATGAGTCTGATTCCCTGCCTGTTCCTATAACAGATTTCCATCTGTTTTACCACTACTTTAAAAGAACATTTTTATTTCAAATGATTATTCCTCAAAATAAAAATAACCATACAAGCAAACACATTCCTCCACCCCTTTACTTTCCTGTGTTGCAAACAGTGCATACTCTTGTCTATAAGTCCATGCTTACTCCCTTCTGCACGCCCTCTTAAAGCACCTATCCTGGTAGCAATTATTTTATTACACAGAAAGAGGCAAGGTCTGAAGTCAACATTTACAGCAATGTCTATGTTTCTAACGCATCTGGTAAGTTTGACACTTTCAATGACTCTGCATGGTTGCTACGTACTGAGTGGGAGGTTTCCAAGAACAGAAATCCATAAAAAAATACTTAGTGAGGTACAAAAACTCTAGCCATAATTTTAAAGGGGTTTATTTTTGGTTTTTGTTTTTTTTTTTCTTCTCAAAGGATTTCTGATTTACTTGAGAATAAAAGGCCAGAATTGCCTAAAATTACTTCCTTATGAGAAGCCATTTTGCCAGTGAATACCAGCTGAGTTTGTCATTCAAAGGTGAACTGACAAGAGAGACTAAGGTGACTATCTAAATGAGGATAGCTACCCTTTAGTCGAGATTAGTCTAACCATACAGGAAACATTTTCTATAAATCTTTGTTTTAGTTCAAACAAGGAAATTAAAGGAAATCATATGTTTCAAATGGCACAGACAATCAGTTGAAGCAGTGAGAGAATCAATATTCTTGATTAGGATAATCATGTCAGAAATTAGGGAGGCATTGTGTATCAATCACATAAATCACATCAATGATGCAGAACATAAATAACATGTGGGATTGCTTATGCTGACCTATGCTGATTTTGCTATGTTAAAGGTCAGTGGAGCCACAACAAACATGAACACAAACCCCTCAACCTCTTTATTTTAGAAGAATTAAATTTTGTAATCATAAAACATCTCTTTCATAGTAACAAATAAATACAGGAAATGGCAGAGAGCCTTCTTATTTTTATTTTTTGCTTTGTTGGGTAATGAAAATAATGAAACTTTGGAAAAGACTTGGAAGCATAATCTCAGAATAAAGAAGTGGAAGAACAGGCAACCAAGTATGTAAGTCAAATATTGTCCACAGATCACACAGTCAGGAGGGAGTATTTCTGCCTGCCTAATCATAATCTAAATCATCTGCCTTCTTTATAAAAATTATTGATATGTACTTCCCAAAGAGGTTTCTAGAATCAGTTTACTACAGGAGCCTGCAGGAAAGTCAACATTTTAGTCCTCATTCTTTAACCTCAAATATTTTCTTTCTCGTCACTGTTTTTTTCAAGGCAGTCTTTACCTCTTTGTTCCTCAAAGTATAAATGAAAGGGTTCAGCAATGGCGTTATAAGGGTGTTCAGAAGGGATACCACTTTGTTCGTATTGCGTGAGTCACGCCCTCTTGGCCTGACGTACATGAACATGGCTCCCCCATAAAGTATGACGACTAGAGTCAGGTGAGCAATGCAGGTGGAGAAAGCTTTCTGTCTCCCAGAAGTAGATGGGATCCTCAATATGGCAAAAATGATGGCGAAGTAGGAGATGACAGTCAAAAAGGAAGTGCTAAACAGAAGCACTGTAGCAACAGTGAAAATAACCCATTCAATATGGTGGGTGTCAGTGCAAATCATCTTCAGCAGTGGCCCAATGTCACAATAGAAGTGATTGATGATATTGGGGCCACAGAATGGCAGTCTGAACACCAGAATAGTTTGCACAAAGACACTCAGAAAGCCACCCATCCAAGAGCCAAATGAGAGCTGAGCACACAGTTTTCCACTCATGATGGTGGTGTAGTGGAGAGGGTTGCATATTGCTGTGTATCGGTCAAAGGACATGGCTGTGAGGAGGAAAAGCTCAGTAGAACCAAGGAAAAAGTGGGAGAAGACTTGGGCTTTGCACCCAGCTATGCTGATAGACTTCTTGACTTGATCCAGAAGACTGGCCAAAAACTTGGACATAGATGATTCCCAAAAATGACAGATTTCCAAGGAAGAAATACATGGGTTTGTGGAGAGTGTTGTCATTCACCACTGTGGTGATGATGATGACATTCCCAGTGACAGTCAAAATGTAGATGACCAAGACTCCCACAAAGACCAAAATATGAACCCTTTGAAGGCTGGGGAAACCGAGAAGAATAAATTCAGTCACAAAAGTCTGGTTTTCCATCCTCTGCTTCCACTTTGTATATTTCTGCATTAATAAATACGGCAAGTAAAGCAGTGATCAAAGCTTTTTTTTATGTGAGTGAGTAGGGAAGAGGAAATATAGAGATATACATGTTTATGCGCATATAGGTATGTATACAAATATATGTATGTAAGAGACATTTTTAAATTGATTTTAACATGTATTTTAAAGAAACCGGGAGGTTTGAGATCCTTGTAATAGTTTTACTGTTTCATTTTTCAGTTACTTTTTTCAGTTGAAAAAGTGATCTCTCTT